TAACTTGGTAAATTTGCCCTCTAAACATGGTGTGCAGATCGATGAACATGGATCTAATGATGTAGAAACTTGACATTGATGTAGAATTGCAGAAGTGATTGCATTGGATGTGTGTCCTAGTCGTTTGTGCCAAATGCTGGACTGAATTGGTTTTGCAAGAAAGCATGAATGTAATGCAGGTGGGATAGATGATGTCTTATGTGAAATGTTGAATGATATAGGGTAATAACCAGCTCTACATAGCCCCTTGAAGAGGATCTTCCCTGTGGATTTGTCCTGAATCCAAAAAGAAACATCATCACAAATGAATCTGCATCTATTATCTTTGCAGAGTTGAGAGATAGATAACAGGTGTTGTGAAAGTTTTGGAACATGTAGAACATTCCGAAGTGTAAGAGAGTGTTGTGGAACTACTAATTAAGAAGTACCAATACTGGAAATACTCAAACCGGCACCACTTGCAGTGGTAATGGTGTCTGTGCCCTGATATGGAGTAGACAACTCCAATTTTGCCAACTCAAATGTCATATGTGATGTAGCACCAGTGTCTACAATCCAAAACTGTTCAGATGGTGCTGAAGGTTGATAGTTGGCATGCATTGCAGAGAGATTAGCAATTGGAAGCCTTCCTTGATACGCAAAATTGCTCCTGTGATACATTGAACTGCTGTGTGCCCGTATTTCCAGCAAATTTGACATTGAGTAGGAGTAGGAGCACTCGAGGGTGGAGTAGTATGCCTTTGAAAACAATCTGCAGCAACATGGCCCTTTTTATTACATATTTGACAAATAGGAATGTCAATTGGATGATCTGGACAATGGGATTGGTATGGTTTGGGAGTACCAAGAATACCAGGATTACCATTTGAAAATCTTGGACCACTAGTATATTGAAATCTTCCTCTGCCTTTGCCTCTGAAATTATTCCCTTTATTGCCTCCATAGGTAGAATAACCACCATTGAAATTGTTATATGGCCCATGTCCATGACCATGATTAACAGAACTTGATCCTCCATTTGACTTGAAGGATTAATCAGAAGAAGACCTTGGTTGATCTTGATCGAGAGCAAGAGCTTTTCCTTTATCGGATTGAGTGCTAGCAACCATGGCATTGCCAAAAGACAACCCAGAGGTACTGTCAAAAGATTGCTCAATGATAGCTTCTTCGGCCAATAGTTGAGACCGAAAGTCTTTGAGAGAAATCCCATTTTCTCTTCCTCTGATCACACATCGAAATGTGTTGAAATCTGCAGATAAACCTTTCAACGCTAGGATGATAATATCATCATCATCAAAATTTACCCCAGCGGCAGCAAGATGATCTCTGGCATCTTTGATTTTTTGAAGATAAACCGACACAGATTCTGACCATTTCTTGATGTTCTGAAGTTCTATCTTCATCTGAAAGATTGTAGCCTTCGTAACAGCAGAAAACCTTTCGGTGAGATTGAGCCACATCTCACAAGAACTCTTACTCCCAATGATACAGGACATGGCAGTCGAAGATAGTGTAGCAATAAGCAACTGCATTAATGCACGATCGTGCATCTTCCAGACCAGGTAGTCATCATTTTCGACTCCTTCAGCATTCGAAGCATTATCAAAACGTGATGGACACTTTCTTGAACCATCCACAAATCCCATGATTCCATGACTTTCCAGAAGCAACCGAACCTGAAAACTCCAAGTAAGATAATTGGAGTCATCCAATTTCACTGTGACTGAAGTGGAGATTGTGGAGAGAAGATTGGTGATGGGTGACTGAACAATCTGCAACTGAGCAGCTGTAACCATTTTCGCAAATTCTTGAAGCACACTTTCACTGATGCGTTTAATCAAACAGTTGGTGGGCAGACGAAAAGAAACCAACTGTCGAAGCACTTTGTATATTTCCGGATGCCAAAACTCACACAAATATTCAAACTAGAGGGTGTAGAAGAGAAAGAAAATGTGATGAAGATTGAGCGGAAGCACCGGATCGATCGGCCGGCGATGATACCATATGAAGATAGCAGAATGTGTGAAGTTTTAGAAGAACAGAAAGTTATATGAAAATATTGAGAGAAAATGATAGATGTAAAATGTATTTGATTTTCCTTACTATGTTGTTTTACAATTCACACTTATATAAGTGTTTCCAAAACCCAATCTTACAAAGTAAGTAACCTCCTTTTTAACTACCTCCTTATGTCAACCAACTATCTCCTTATTCCAACTAATTATATCTCTAACCACTAAGATTCCAACTAACATACCAGCCTTTATAGTCTCTTGACAAGTGGCATTAGTTACCCACTGATATCCTTTTCACTATTTTCCACTTCATTCTTCTTACATACATATATCCCGAATTTTACTAAATTCGTCTTTTTAAATATGACTAAAATAACAAAGACTTGTAACTCAGTTGGTTAAAAACATTCACATTTACTCTCAGAATCTCGAGCTCGTCCCTCAATATCTATGGTAGAAGAAAGAAAAAAAGATATGGTAAAATTATAATTCATACATCATTGTGTTTACTATTTGTTATAATTATGCAAGACGTTTATGTATTTGTAATTGTAAGGATGGTTTTTAGTGGTCCAAACTCTTTTTATTAATGCTCTTCTTCCTACATTAATTATCCTTCAAATAAAAAAATAATATTTAATATAAAATAATATTTTCTCTCTCTTCATCAACATTTCTCACTCTCTCTTCTTCTTCTTCTTGATGGATGGAAAAAGAAAAAAAAAACAGAATTTCTTTTTTTTTTCTTTCAGCAATTAATTTTCTTCAACCGGGACCCAAATAAGACTTTGATTGAGAAGTGGAAATCCACATGTATGCTACTCCAGCAAAGTCTTGCTAGCATCTCCATTCCATTTCTCTCACAATTACATGGCTGGACAAATATGCTAACATTCATCACTCATTACACCACAAGGCATAGACACACCAAATAAATATTTAATGGGAGTGTGTCTAACAAATTTTTCACCTAGTTCAAAGCATATTGGGATAATTAAGAATTGGGCTTACGGAGGAGCTTCCGTCAGGTGCATAGGCTCGTGAAAAAAAAAATAGTTTTGCACGTGGCCTTGTTTCAGGCTTTAGTTTTTGTCCTTTTTTTCATTAAATTTCAGTCTCTTTACATTAAATAAAGTTAGTATATGATTTTTTTGTTAAAACAAACTTAGTCCAAACTCTTTTAATTAAAACTCCCTATTTACTATGTGATGTCATGTTTGACTTGGGCTTAGTTTATGTTCATAATTTTTTTTAATAAGATGCATTATAGAACATCAATAGAAAACTAAACGTGAATATCAGAGCTAAAGTCGCATCTTTATTAAAAGACACGCTTTCTGATTACCATGACGCGACAGAACACTAAAATACCTTATAAACAAACATTAACACCACTAACTATGAAATATAAAATCATCATTTAAGGAAGAACCAACATTATTCTCCTAAGTCATCTTCGATCCTTTCTCCAATATTGTGTTTGAAAATGACAGGCGGTGATGTCATGCCGATTAATTATGTCACGAGGGACATGAGATGGTTTCATTGGTTGTGGATTATAAATATCAAGAAATATAGACAAATTTTCTGGAGATGTGTATTTATCAAATATAGCCAAATATTAAATTCTAATTTCAAAAATGTCAATTTTTATAAAAAAATTCAAATATATCCAAAATATCACCTAAGTAGATATAAATACCCTTAAATTTAATATTCAACAATTTGTAGTTGACTGTAAAAGTTTTGTCATGCGTTTTCAATATAATCAAACAAAACACATTATATATACTAAAAGTGTAAAAAAATAGGTTAAGTTTCACAATGGATTAGTAATAATTTGACTTGAATATTTTTTTGATGAGTGAAGATGAATATCACTACAGAGTAGTACCAACTGGCTAAGGAACAAATATTTGTTTTTTTTTTGAACAAATGATATCTACACAAAGAAAGAGAGTAGTCTAAGGCTCATAATGTGCTAACAATGTGATTCAAACTCTTCTTTGACAAGAATCGAACTTAAGACCTCCTATTACAATTGAAAAATATATATCACTAGACTGTAGTACTATATGATCCCATCATGTGGAGGAAAAAAATCAACTAGGGAATGTTCAAAATGTGGTTTAAATGACCATTGTAAACAAACTTGTAGGAATCCCGTTCCATGTAGAACTCTTTTTAAATTGGGGTGTAATGAATAAATATTTCCTTTTGATCATTTTATTGTTGCTTTTGATTGTACGTAAATTCCTTTAAATTTCAGACAATTAAAAGTGCATTACTTTTATTTCTTTACTCTGATAGTTCACTTTTATAAGATGCTAAGGTGTTTTTTTTGGAACCCTGTGAGAAAGAAAGGTTTCCTTGATTATTTACTAAAATAAAATTGAGAAAAACGTTTGCTCTTTGTTTGGAAAAGAAAGGAGAAAAAAAAAACAGAGAAATTTTTAGTTAGAGATTATAGCTCAAGAAGTCTTTAAGTCTAACAATTAGTTATTCATAAAAATTGAGGGTACTTGTGTCTATTTAGTGTCTATTTAGGTGAGATTTTGAATATTTATGAATTTTTTTATATAAAAACTGACATTTTTGAAATTAAAAATTAATTTTTTGCTATATCTTTATATAAAGTGAGCATCCTAAAATGGTGAAACATTCAAAATACCATAAATTGTCGTTTAAGAATTTCATAAATTACAATTGAACCAAAAGAAGTTAAAGTATTTAACCATATTTTTATTTTGAATGAATTTAATATTTAAAATTATTGAAAAAAAAAACAAAAACAAAACCTCTCACATTAGTGGGTGGTTTCACGTCATTAATTCATTTCTTTTAAATTTTTTTTTTAAATATTTAAATTAATTATTTAAATAAATAAATTAATATAAAAAGATAATTATCGTGCTTAAGTTAAAGATGAGTTGTGGGAGATTGAGATCGACTTGACCACCACAACCTCGCGAGGAGAGAATTAAAATGCCAACATTGCCGAAGTTTGTGGTGCTCAAGTCGAACTACAACAACAAATACTTACGATTCAATACTATAGATGCAGATGAGAATCTGAAGCGAATCATGCCGGCTGCAAGGTATATTAATTTCACAGGAGAGGAAGCAGGGAGCGAACACACAAAATTTGAAGTGGAGAAGGCAAAGAGTATTGGGAATGAGGGACTAGTACACATTAGATGCTGCTACAACAATAAATACTGGGTGATGCCTGCTTGTGGTTATACTCAGATTGTTGCTGGTGCTGATGAACCAGAGGAAGACAAATCCAAGTTCTCATGTACCTTGTTCGAGCCTGTCTACGAAGATGATGATGGCCTCCCAGTTGATGATTCCAGAAGTGCTAATTCTATAGTACTCCGATTCCGCCATGCCCACAATGGAAAGTACTTGGCCTTGGTGCAAAACGATCCGAATGACAAATACTGGGGTTTCATGTACACGTATGGGGAATCTCCTAGCCAGAGGTTTATGGATGTGTTCATAGTCATTGACTGGGAATCGTTGGTGCTAATCAAGATACTTCCCAAGCATGTGGCGTTTAAGGGTGCTAATGGTCACTACCTCGGTGCCCGCCTGATCGACCAATACCCAAGTTTGCTGCAGTTCGAATCCACTGACATTGAAGATCCATCGGCAGGAAACGAGGTCTTCACCAATGCTGATGGCACCGTTCGCATAAAGTCCGATTCCTCAGGAAAATTCTGGAGGCTCACCGAGGATGACTGGATATGCGCCGACTCAGATGACTCTACCAACGACGATTCCCACACATTGTTTTGGCCCATCAAAGTAGGCGACAGTGCCATTGCCCTCCGCAACATGCAGAACAAGAAGTTTTGCAAGAGATTTACCACTAGCACAATTACAAGCGGTCTTAATGCAAACGTCTCCACTATCGACAAAGAGGCATACTTGGAGGTGGAAGAGGTTTTTCCCTTAAGGAGAGATATCAGTAATATTACTCTCCATCTCGACCGTGCAAGGATTTACAACCAAAACGTTGTCAATTTAGCCATGGGTGAACTCGTTAACCATTCTAATGAATCTTACCCTATGGAATTGAAGTTTTCCTATATAGAAACTAGGAACAGTACTTGGAATTACTCCAGTGTCTCGTCGATTTTGAAGTTGTGCGGCCTCAAGAGCAGCACCCACACCGAAGTTCCAGTAATTGCAGATGATAAAAAGTTGACCATTGGATTTACTGGAGCAGTCCAATTTGGAGAAACTGAGACAGTCACAAGTAGTGTAAAGGATGCTTTTTATAAGTATGTTCTGCCAGCAATGACTAAGGTAATGGTGAGGTTTGTAGCAGCTGAGGCTTCATGTGATGTTCCCTTCTCTTACACCCAGCGCGACACTCGTACGAGTGGGGAAATAATTACCAGCAACATAGACGATGGAGTTTATAATGGTGTGAATACCTTTGATTTCAAGTTCGAGTCCACAGAAGAAAAGCTTTCATGATATTCCACTTACTGCAACAGAACTTTTTATTGTTCTTCGTCTATTTTTTTTGTGATTTTTATTTTGCATGTAGTTTGTTAATTTCCAATAAAATCAAGGAAATGACACAAATCAAGAAATAAGTCACGAAAAGAAGATTTATCTGAGCGATTTTGTATGTCACTTTAATTGCTTAGGTTTATTTTCAGTGCTGAAAATTTTGTGTCAATGTGGTCCTCATGAGTGTGGAATTAATATTGGTTCATAGCTTCCATTATCAACGATGTGTGTGTGTGTATTCGCACATTTTCACTATATATTGTAAGTAGAAGTGTGACCAACTAGACTTTGTTTCGTTTGTAATTTCATGTCAGAGTACCAATTTTGTTTATGTTCTTGATTTAATAGCTTCGTCCCTGCCAATTTTGCATAAATAACCAGAAGGAATGGATAAGGAGAGAACAGAGAATATAAATACAACAGATCTAAACCAGCCGCCCCTCGCTGAAAGTTCTATCCAAAATCCAAACGCGAAAATAAAAAGCCAAAGTATAAATTGTGCCAAAAGATTTGCTTCCTGAATACAATCGCGGGAAACAAATTACAGACAAAACCATAATGATAAAGTGTTGAGAATATCACGTTTAAGAATGGGAAAAACAAGAACAAATTCCGGAAATCAAAAAACAAATAACCAAGATAAATAACACCAAGAATTTACGTGGTTCAGCAATATGTGCCTACGTCGACGGGACAGCAACAACAATCTTTCACTATATCAATAATGAGTACAATCAATAATCTTGCCAAATCTCTAGAACTAGGACTTGACGAAAAACCTGAAAGAACAAGAACAAGAAATACACTATCTCTTTTCTTTTCTCTCGCACACACTTTACAATATTCTCTCACTCAAATCCTTTGAGTGGTATACAATTTATTGTTTTGCTTCCCCTTTCTAAAACTAGTACAATAGCCCCTTTATATAGACATAATAAAAGTCTTCTTCAATAAGGATTATTAATCCTAATTGGAAACTAGTTATAAAACCTACTCCAATTGGGAAACTAACTTCAATTGGGTAAACAACTCCAATTGGGAAAGCAACTCCAATTGGGAAAACAATTTAATCCTCTAAGACTATTAATTCCCAATAGACTTAGGACAACTAATCATGGGCTAGAAAAAACCCAACAATCTCCCCCTCCAGACCATGAGGAAGGTATACCATAATAGGATTGCTCCTCTTGACCAAACTCCCATTGATCGAACTTTTCATGACCAGACTCCCCCTGATCGAATTACCCATAACCAAGCTCTCTTTGATCGAACTACTCATTAACCAAGACCCTCTTGATTAGATTTCTCTTGACCAGGCTCCCCCTGATCGCAACACCCATCGTCATTGGCAAAGGCAGTTATAGACTTCTTTGCCAGAAAACATCGCTTATCTTCATCTTGGTCCAATCAGCATCATACATACTTGTTGGCTTGATCTTAACACCTTCAGTAAAGCATGTCCTCCTCTTGATTTCCACGTAACCCAGTTGGAGCGAGTGAGTTTCATCATAATTGAACCTTCCATTCTAAACGGATATCAGCCGAACCAGGCTCTGATACCACTTGTTGAGAATATCACGTTTAAGAATGGGAAAAACAAGAACAAATTCCGGAAATCGAAAAACAAATAACCAAGATAAATAACACCAAGAATTTACGTGGTTCAGCAATATGTGCCTACGTCCACGGGACAGCAACAACAATCTTTCATTATATCAATAATGAGTACAACCAATAATCTTGCCAAATCTCTAGAACTAGGACTTGACGAAAAACCTGAAAGAACAAGAACAAGAAATACACTATCTCTTTTCTTTTCTCTCGCACACACTTTACAATATTCTCTCACTCAAATCCCTTGAGTGGTATACAATTTATTGTTTTGCTCACCCCTTCTAAAACTAGTACAATAGCCCCTTTATATAGACATAATAAAGGTCTTCTTGAATAAGGATTATTAATCTTAATTGGAAACTAGTTATAAAACCTACTCCAATTGGGAAACTAACTCCAATTGGGTAAACAACTCCAATTGGGAAAGCAACTCCAATTGGGAAAACAATTTAATCCTCTAAGACTATTAATTCCCAATAGACTTAGGACAACTAATCATAGGCTGGAAAAAACCCAACATAAAGAAACTTGCTCGTCCCTTCAATACGCATTGTCCCTATGGAAAGTTTTTGTGTGGACAACATTTGGAGAGCAATTGTTAATATAGTGCATCCTCTAGTCCTTTTAACGAGTCATCAGTTTACCTATAAAAAAATAATATAAATAATTTCGAACAACCCTAACTGAGATGGAATTGAGATAACATACTAACAAATTAATAATTTATCAACTTATCGATTAATTAGTAACTTATTAATTTATTTAGGTATTTCTTTTTTTTTTAAATATTGTACATTGTATTTAGTTGCTTGGCTTGAGAGTTTGAGGCTTTGTTTATCTATTGTGCGTTCACGATGTCGAACCAAAATAGATAATTCCAGATTTGCAGAAAGATCAAATTACACAATGATTCTGACTTGGTAGCAACTAGCAAGTCTCTGGTGTTTGTACTTTAAAGAACACCACCTAGCTTTTGTACCAATTTTTTATTAAACTAAATGACTGTGATTTACACGTGGAGCACATGAAGTATGCATACTTTGGTGATGATATATATGTTTATTAAAATCAAATCATTCATAAGTGTGTGTTTCACCTTTCTCTCACTCAAAATGCTCTTTAATTATAAAGATTTTGAGTAAATTAATAGTAGAAAGTTGAAGTTCATCACAAAGTACTGCATTCTCAGAGCTGGATGGTGCATAAGGACGTCTGTGTTGTATTAACAATTTATGATTAAGCCTTTAGTCCTCTAGCATTATCACGCATCGTGAAGAAAAGCCAATCGATGAAGTTTCTTGTGACTTTTTGGGTCCCAGCTGTTGGATGCAGATTGCAAAGGTATGTGGCGTATGATTTATTTTGGTACATTAGGGTTTTGATTTGTTTCCTCGATCTATGGGATTATTTTATGATTAAGGGTCAGTTTGGAATTGTTGTGTTTTTTTATAAAATTGATTTTACTGTACTTTAAGAATAATCAACTGTAAAATAAAGCTAATGATGGTTGGCTAACTAAATTTTAAAAGTGTTGTGAGTATAAAAAACAACGTAAAAGCATTTAGTAAAATTTAATGTAAGAGTGATATAATTGTATACAATAACAAATAGACATAATAGTAGGAGTCGGGGTGATGAAAGCAGTGGTGGTAGTGCTGGTGGTGGTGGCTGCGGTGAAGGTGTGGTGGTGATGCTAATAGTGGGATGTGTTGGTTGGGGGTGGAGAGGTAACAATGGTGGTAGGGCGGTGGTAGCACTGGTAGTGGCGGCAATGATGGTGGTAATGGCAGTTGTGGTTATGGTGGCAATGATGGCGGTTGTGGTAATGGTGCATGGTGGTGGTGGTGACGATGACAGCATCAATGGTGGTGGTGGTGGTGGCGATGACAGCATCAGTGGTGGTAGTTGTGGTGGCAAGAATGGTGGCAATGGAGGTAATGATGGTGGTGACAATGGTGGTAGTAGTGACAGTGGTGGAGGTTGTGGTTATGGCGGTGGTGGTGGCAAATATGGTGGTTGTAATGGCAGTGATGGTATAAGGTTAGTATTTGTAGTGGTCGGTATTAGCATTTACTTTTTCTCTAAAGAATAAAATATATGTGTGGAAAGCTAAATAATGTCACTTAAAAAATTAATGAAGGTATACAACAATTGAAAATATTTATTAAAGACCTAACTCTGCTTTTTATTAAAGCAGCTTTTAAAAGCAACCTACGTGCTGCTTTTAAAAGCTGTTGTCTTAGAATACCCCGTATTTAAAAAAATGGTTATATATGTATGTGTGTCTGTGTGTGTATGTGGGTAATTATTTTTTTACGTAATGATTTTTATTAGATTTATTTTATGCAAGAACTTACTTGCAATATGTAAAATAGTTTCAATGTAAAATCCTTTTTGCTACAAATTATTTCAAAAACTAGCTACTATTATTTTATGTTCATATGTAATAAGAGATATTTTAGTTTGAATTGGAGAAGGAGATATTGATGAGTTTGGCTTGATATTTTTACCAAATAAGAGTGAGTTGGCAAGTTTGTAATCATTAGGCATCTAAGAGTTAAATGTTTGGTGATGATTCATCCCCTGCAAAATTGGAGAGGTGGGATTCATAATCCTTAGACTTTGAACGTGGCCTTGAGTATTTGTCCACATGCATGGGAATGATTGTTTCCACTTACAAGATGTCCAAGTGTTGCAACACAAAGTGAAACATGTCCTTAAGGCTTAATGGAGGATTCCATTTCTTCATCCATAAAAGTAGAGGGAGGAGGGAAACTGGGGAAGAATCAACACATACTCAACACACGGGGAAAAAGAAACAAAACCTCCTCTTCTTCATTGACCACTCTCCCCACCATCCTTTTCTTTTACCTTATGTTAGGCCATCGTCATTGTTTTTTTTTTTTTTTTTTTTTTTTTTTTTTTTTTTTTTTTTTTTGTAAATCTCTCTTACATAGTGAAAACATTAATGCATATGCAACCCTAGTGGATGTAGCCAAATTGGTGAACCACTTAAATCTCCATGTTCCTTTGTCTAATTGCAATAAATTTGAGTTGAGCAAACCATTTAAACACTAAGTTATTAAAAGAAACATAATGGAAAAGGAGGATCGACAAAATGAAGAAATGGTAATATATTGCTTATCATTTACATTAAAGATTATTATTTTGTTAATATTATGATTATATTACTCTTGTTACTAATCAATTTGATTTATGTTGAAGCTTACAGGCTTGTTAAAGAAAATGTGAGTATTGATATCTATGTGAACATGACATATACATAAACATTCATGCAAAAAAACAATAAATAAATAAAAAAAAAGAGTTGTGTTGAGTTTGTAAAGTATTTGCGTTGTGAGGATATTCAAGGGCTGAAGTTTGCCTGGAATATAAAATAATGAACCTTGTATATGTCAGACATAGGATGCAGGGCTTGAGTATACAAATTGGTTGATTATAAAATAATGAAATCTTGTATATGTCAGGTGTCGGGGGAAGGGCTTGAATATACAATTGGGCGTTGGGGGAAGTGTCTGTTTAATAAAGTGGAAATTGAGAGTTTAATTACAAAAATGAGGTTAAGGGATGAACATGGAGTTAACTCATATTCTAACGTATTCGGAGCCAAGTGGTATAAACATGGTATGAGACGTGCAGGCTTGGGTGCCTTAAGTATGTGTTGACGGGATTAGAAGGGAGTGAGTACATCCATGCATCTCCCTAGTGTGTGTGTGTGTGTGTGTGTGTGTGTGTGTAAATATATATTTCATGCATTTGAAAGAATTGTTACAATATAATTATTATTTTGTTGGTAGTTTTTGTTGTGAATTAATTTGTGTACTATTCTATTTCCGCTGCGTATTCGATAATTTTTTATGAAAGATTTTGTTAACGTATGGTGTAATCGTTATAATTTTTTTTTTTTTCACCATATCTTGGTTGTAGAATTTATTTCTATAGCTAAGATATGACTCATGTTGATGCACAAAACCGGAGGTCTTGGCACAACATAAATCCGACTGTAAATCTGCATGAAATGTAAATAACATAAGATGTATCGTGGTTCAGCCCAAGGTTTGGGCTATGTCCACATTGATATTGTATTTCTGAGGGGAGAGAGAGAGCCTCTGTATTGAATCTGAGAGGCTTTGGGAGTGAGAGCTTGAGGGGGTGAGGAGCCTTAGGAATTGGCCTCCCCCAATTATGAGGGTGAGGGGTCCTTTTATAGAATAAGGACTCATCACTTATTACATATTTGCCCTTTCCTTTATTACATAATTACATTTAAGTCCCCCGAGTATTTATACGAGGTCTAAATACGAGACCCTAAATATGGTATAAACTGTAGTCCCCAAGTCTTTAGTCAAGAGAGTGTTTTGGCTAGAGACTTGAAATTCAGTCCATGTGTGGGCCGAAGTAACTAGATGTTGTCTTGAACTGATGCTCGATATGAGGCGGTGTTCAATCTGAAATGATGCTCAACTAGAAGTAGCACACTTTGCGAGGCTGCTCGGCTCGTGGCTTATGTTGTCTTGGTTGGCACGGTTTGTGGCATTTGAAGGTGAATGAGTCCCTTTTATAGAATAAGGGCTCACTTCTCAATACATGGATGATGGGCTAGAGTTGATGCTCTCTAGTGATGGTAAGGGAGTCCCTTTTATAGAATAAGGGCTCACTCCTCAATACATAAATGATTGGTTAGGAGTGATGCTTGTGGCGAGGCAGTTCCTCAACTGGCGGCGATGCTCTCTAACGAAGGTGAGGGAGTCTCTTTTATAAAATAAGGGCTCGCTCCTCAATACATAAGTGATGGGCTAAGTCCCCCAAGTATTTTTCATGAGTGTTCTCTAATGAAAGTGAGGGAGTCCCTTTTATAGAATAAGGGCTCGCTCCTCAGTACATAGATAATGGGCTAAGTCCCCCAATTATTTTTCATGAGTGCTCTCTAATGAAAGTGAGGGAGTCGCTATTATAGAATAAGGGCTCGCTCCTCAGTACATAGATAATGGGCTAAGTTCCCCAAGTATTTTCATGAGGCTTAGTTGAGGCCCACTATATGGTACATAATGTAGTCCCCCAAGTCTTCGGTCAATAGACTCTGTTGGCTGGAGACTTTAAATTGAATCCATGTATGGGCTGAAGTGGCGGTTGTTTGGAGGCGGTATTTGTATACCTTGCACTGAAGCTTTGTAAGTAAAGCTTTGCAAGTGAAGCTTTGAAGCTGGAGCTCTGTAAATGAAGCTTTTGAAGCAAGAGATTTTGTAAATGAAGCTTTTAAAGATAGAGCTTTCGTAAATGAAGCTTTTGAAGCTGATTGACATGAGTGATGCTTATGAATGTTTATGTTGATTGACATGAGTGATGCTCATGGATGTTGACATGAGTGATGCTCATGAATATTTATGTATGATTGACATGAGTAATGCTCATGAATGTTTATGTATGATTGACATGAGTAGTGCTCATGTATAATTTCGAAGTACTGGACGTACTTTTGATCACCTGGTTGGTGACATGAATGAGAGTACAGGTTGTACATTTCATCACCTGGTTGGTGGCATGAATGGCTAGTTGCCAAATGATATTAGAGTACGGGTTGTACATTTCATCACCTGGTTGGTGGTAATAACGGCAGGTTGCCGAATAATTGTGGAGTACTGGGCATACTTTTGATCACCTGGTTAGAGCTATTTTGGGCTTATGGGTCTTCGCCCTCTACACAACATTCCAGCCCATTTATTTTAGGCTTTGCCCTTTTTTTTAATTTTTTTTTAATTTTTATTTTTTTTATCCTCTGATGGGGTTTATACAGATGTCTCTGAAAGATAAGAAAAATAAATTACATCATACAAAAACCAAAAAAGTAAATCACATCATTCTGGTGGGGTGTTTATTCCTTACTTTTGCTTTCTCTTTTGCTTTCTTCTTTTGTTTTTGCTTTTGTTTTCTACTTTGCTTTTGCTTTCGTTTTTCTCAGTTCACTTGATTCCTTTTCTTTCTACTTTTCTCTCTGTTTTCTTTTCTTTTCTCTTTTCTTTTCTGCTTTGCTTTTGATCTCCCCGCTCATTCTTTGTCCACCCATGTTCTATGGCCTTGGAGACCATATGGCTTTAAGCTTTTAATTGCCACTGTAATCCTTGACCCGTGTTTTGCTAGAGAAAAGATTGCCCTGAGCAGTTGTACTGAGACTCTTCGAACCCCGCCAAACAAATTTAAAGTTTTCTCGATTTTGCGCTTAGCCCTGTCCTAGTAATTTATTCACCCGAAGAAAAGTGAGTCAAATCCAACTTTTGCTCCCAACAAGTAAGCCTGGACAATGCTCTAATTGACCCGAGGTGACTAGCTGCTTGACTATACTTTGGACAGAGTCACTCTTACCTCTCCACCACCGCTGGAAGAATGCATGTTCGACATAAATGAATTTGCGATTCTTGTCAGCCAGCAAAGCAGGAACCAAAGAATCCATCACATTTTACACGCAAGCTCCCTGGATGGAATTGTTGGAGCCAACATAATACTGATCAACGGTCTTTAATCAGCCAACGTCGTCGTGGGTGTGAAGGACGAAATAGAATCTGCTTCTGAGTGCGATTCTTGAAGATGCTTCAGAGCCACTTCTGCCTCAGCTCGCGTTTGCTTTTCTTCCAGAAGCTCCACATTCAACGATTCAATCATTTGATGCAGCTGTTTCACCTCATCCGATTTGCCGCCTTCTTTCTCGTTCGGCTCCGACGATTGAGAATCCTGAAATCCTTCGAACTGAGACTTCAGGATTTTGTTCTGCAATTTGAGCTCCATGACCATCTAGACGAGTTGATCGTGAGTGTCGGCCGCGTCCGAGCTGCTATTCTCCTGCACGAGATCTCCATTGCTGTCGCTTTGCGCTTCATCAGTTTCAAATCTGAATTCAAATTCTCTTCCATTTGGTCTTCGACCTCCGACATCAACATTGTTAAACGCTCCGTTTTAATCATTTTGGTGGTCGAAGAATTGGAGATCTCTCGGAGCAGGGCGAAGAGCAGAACTGGAGATCTCTCGGCGCATGCCAGTTTTGCTAAGTTGCTATGGCTTCTAGGATTAAGCCAATTG